ATTATAAGAGAAACTGTCCCAAGAGTCTTGATTTGGCCATGTCACCAACAATTTTACATTACAGATTGAAGTCCTCCAAAATAAGCCAAAAGCAAACAAAAAAGACATCTTCCTAGAAATAAAAGCATTATGTTTAACCTGCACATTTTGATTTTTCTTAAATCAATGCATCAATTCTCAAGGTTCTCATTCCATCTTCTTCAGTAATTAGTAGAAGATGAGAAAGAAAGCAATATTTGGAGTTCATTGTCTATTTTTTTTTCTTTCTCAGAAATTCTTGGAGACAATGTTGCTTCTGGTATACAGAACTTACATATTTAGCAGAGTTGCATCATCATTCACTGGATACTTGACAAGTTTACAGCAGTTCATAATGTAAGGAGTGGTTTTAATAAATCTCTAAACTGTTGAAGCCACTATGACATACAGCAATACTAACATTACAAACATTAAAGCATATGTCTCTATTATGTGTGTCAGCTAACAAAATAATAAAATACACGGTAAAGTTGCTATATTAATGTGACTAGGCAAATGTGCCACTAAGTGTAATGCAGTCCTCAAGGAAAAAGGCTGAAATGAATTATTGGTTATTTGAATTATCATCCAGTATAATAAAATCCTTTTTGAAATTAAATTACCTCCTTTGAACATGAAAAGGATAATCATAGGCTTTCTAACTGAATCTTTTGTAAATACTGAAAATAACTTAGAAGCTACGATATTGTCATTTCAAAGAGTACTCAAAAAAATTGTTCCAAAAATCATATGCAAAACAGCATCAGTAAGTTAATCACACTTTCAGTTGTCTCTCCATTAATGCAGAGGTTTTTTTAAACTTCACAGGAAAATAAAGACTTGGCAAGGAAAATCACAGCTAAAAGAGGTGCTATTCTGATAAAGACAAAGAAACATCCCAAAATCTTCTTCAATTAGTTAAAAATTTAAAAAACAAACAAAAAAAAACCACAAACGGGCTAATTTTAGAACTTTAAATCTAAAAACTTACATTTGCTTGGCTGCATAAAAATAATTAAACCATGAAGTCAAGCAACCTGATTCCCTAAAAAACAAACAAACAAAAAAAAAAAACACCAAACAAACAGAAAACCTAAACAAACAAAAACACAACCGATCTTAGTAGTCAGAAGATACAGGCACAGCTTCTAGTCTGTTACATTTTAAGGCAGATCTAGGAGAGAACCTTTCCAGTCTAGCAGGACATCTAAAGACAGTATCTGGAGAGAACAAAACTCAAAGTTACAGTTCCTGCTGTGAAAGCTCTGAAATAGAACTGACCTCAACAGACATCACAAAAACAGTAGTTCCCAATTAAAAAAAATCCAACTAAAAATATATTCTATGAATACAAGCCTAAATTCTTGATAACTTCCATTCACTATTCTGACCTATTGTTTCACAGTTCATCTATCCAGAACCGACTAGAAACTTGACACTGTGCCCTTTTCTCAGATTTACCTTGATCTGAAATCAGTTCCATGTCCAGAACAGCAGCACCATCCTTCCTCCACTGCCTATACCTATGCTCAAGAATCACCACTCCTACTGTTTCTCCAAGCAGCTGCTAAAAGCAACTGGGAGAGAATACCAGGCAAGGCAGACTTCTGAACCAGCCTCAAGTGTCAGCTGTGCACCTCACCTATGGCACTAATCCTCCATCCCAAATCAGAGATGCTACCACCCCATACATGCTTATGCTGCCCACAGTACAGAAATATTCACCTGCCTTGTACAGCTCCACATCAGAGCACTGATCCATTGTCAATCATTCTCTACACTTGGAAATTCATCACAAGAAAAGGTACTTGCTTGTTTGTGGCCTTTTCCTCCAGAGAATGACACTGTAAGATTTATACTAAAACATTTAGTCCAGACCATTACCAGATTGGTGAATTTCTGAAACAGGACTGGGGGAGAGGCTATGTCAGGGAAAGTGTGATCATTATTTCTGCATGATATTTTTGGTTTCAGTGTCTGATGGGTATCTCCAAACTTTCAACAGAAACTTTATCACGAAGCATCTGTATGTTTATGCATAGAACACAATGTGACAGACCTACAAAGTCAAGGAAAGGACAAGATTACCAGAGATCATATTTGTAATAAAACCAGTTTGGCATTCTCTCTCATTTCTGCACATAATCCTTTTCCAGATTATGCCCATATTTTCCACTTACCTAGCAAGTATGGACAATTGTTGAAGCCATTGTAGAAGCAGAGTCTCTAAAAGACCCTAAACACAAAGGTATCACATAAAAAACCCACATAGATAACGAAAATGTAAAAAATTATGTATGCTATGTAAAATTTTATATCCAGTAGCCATCTTCTAGGACTTTAAAATTCATCTTAAGCTCATTCCCGATAAAAAAAATGTATATGTTAATTCACAGAGACAAAACTTAAATTCTTACCAGATCCATTAAAATCATATCATGACTTTAGGAAATATCCCTTCCAATAGTCATGTATAACAGAGCTTAGGTGTGCCTCTGCCTGCAAAATCAAGGCTGCAGACTAAAACTGTAATAAAAGACTTGCAGCTTAAAGTGAGGAGATCTGAATGCATATCAAAATAAAATTTAAAAGAAGTTCATCACCAGTTATGTTCAAAACAACTTTCTGTAGGTAATCTGCCTGTAAGATCACACTTTCAGTTAAATATTTTCTTCAGAAAGGCCTTCCTTCTAGCAGCAAACAACCGGTGTTTTTGGGCAAACTAGTTTTCCAACCCAAATGCACAAAGGGACTAAAACTGGGGTTTCCACTGGAACCCCATGTCTTCTTCATGATGCTCTCATAAAACTGGAATAAATACCTGGCTGTAACCTAGGTAACAGCAAATAAAGTCAAGTCCTGTGTAAACTATTATGTCTTTTAACAACCAGAAAATTAGAAATAAAAAGTGTAGCTCAATACAGAAATCATGTACTGCAATCTACAAGATAAACAGTCTGTAAGTATTTCACATCCTTAAATGAAGCAGAGGCAGATAGAAGCTTTAGAACTTGAAATTTCATTTCAGAAGGAACCTTCAGGTTCTTCTGATGAATTTCTATGATCTGTCTTTACTTAAATGCAAATCTTAGCTCTGTCCTCAAGTATGTGGAAAGCTACAGATTTTGCAGAAACCAAGAAAGAACCAAGCTTACAATATATATCTAAAAATTGCCATGACCTGACATAATAAAATTTTTGAATGACACATCCCTTTCTCTGCCTTTGATATTCTAGACCAAGTGCGATGTGAAAACCCAGGAGCTTTTCTAAAACATCATTTCCAAAAAAAAAAAAAAATTGAGAAGGTCACATAATTCAGTTGCCTGGAAATAAATACCATACTACATGACCTCTTCCTTATCTATGTGAGCATATTTTCCCTCTCCTCAAAGTTTCTGCTGTAGTTCCTGCTGCTGCAGCTCTAGCGGTGTCAGCCAGTAACACCACCCAAGGCAGGCCGAGGGGGCTGCTTGTATTGTCACTGTCACATGGTGTAAAATTGCTTGAGCGGGATGAGACAATGATGTGCTTGAATGACAGCAGCTGTTCTGTGCAGGCATGCCACAAGCAGAGCTGTAATCACAGCCAGGTGCAATGGTGGGAATTTTGGGGGATAAAGGCAGTGCCTGCACCTGTGGCACTCTGTAACTTCTAGCCATGCAATATTTGTTCTTTACAGACCATCTGTCATTTTGACAAGCTCCCCACCTGACCATCACTGGAGCAGCCACCTTTTTTATTTCCTTACCAAGGCCTTTCTCCCTTTTGTACACCATCCAATTTCTGCCTCATACGTGCCTCATAAACAGAAAAGGATATGGTAACTATGGTGTAGGAACCAGTGAATCATAAGAATTTGAAACACTCCTAGTTACAGTGATCAAAGCTAAATCCTTTAGGAAGATTATCCACACCAGAACCCTGAAAAAGAAATGTGACTCAAGTACTTTCATACTGCATCTTTGAGATAAAGCACAATCCCCCGTGTAACTGCGAAGGGCTACCTCCAGTTACGCCTAACTACGGTGGGAACATTGTAACAGGGGCTGCTGTGCCTCTTGATCTATCGATGCAGTTCCAGGCCTGGCAACCAGCTGCGAACGCAACAGTCCTCAGGCTGAGACCACAACTCTGAGGCCGTTCAAGAGAAGGTTTATTCGGAAAACAAAGAAACAGAGAAAAATAATACAAATCAACCACACATTTAAACAACGAGGAGTACGAGCCTGGCAAGCAAGGGATAAGAGACTAAATCCACTCGCGCCCCTGCACCCATCGCCGTGTGAAACGGCGGAGGGGCAGCGCTCCAAACGATGCGAGTGGCGACGATTTCACCACTTCTCCAAAAATACGGCTCCTGGGAGAGCCGGTGTGCCCGAGGTTCGGCGGGAGCGGAGCGGAGGGCAGGGCGAGACCCTTCCCGGCGGCGCGGCCCGGCCAGGCGCTGCTGGCTCCTCGGAACTTCGCCCCCCGCCCGGCAGATGACCGAGACCCGCACCGCGGCCACCACCCCCGAACACCAACACCCCCCTGCCACCGCGCCCGGCTCCGGCCCCTGCCGCCGCTTTTGCATTTTCAGAAGCACTCTGGCCGCCCATTCTGGCCGGCGTCTCAAGGAGGGCACCGCTCTCGCCCAACTGCGGCCGCAGCTCATTGTCCCTTCACAAGGGAGAGGGGGATGACCCATCCCGCGCAGGGACATCGGCACGGCCCGGGCAGATACCACGGACAGCGAGCCCCCACCGCCCCACCCCGGCAGCGAGCCCCGAGCCCCGCTGGCAGAGAAGTTGGGAGCGGCGCGGGCGCTCCCCGCGCCGGGCAGCCCCCATCCCTCCCTGCCCCCACAGGACACGGGCAGCGCCCGCAGCCGCGGGACGCCCGCGGTTCGCGGAGCAGCAGCGGTGCCGGCAAACACCTACCCGGAGAGCTTCCCAATCTTCACAAAGCTAAACACATCCATCCATGCGGCCGGCTAGCTCTGCCCGTCACACTCACTCACTCCAGCAGCAGCAGCGGCGGCGGCGACGGCAGCAGCTCCATGTCGGGAGAAGGTTGCGTCCAGCGGCAGCAACAGCCCTTGCGAAAAAGCAGGAGCCGGCGGAGACAGCGGCTGCTACCCCCCTCCGGCGGGGAGCTGGGCGTGCAGCATCTCGCAGGACCGGCGCTCATCTGCGCGCAGCCCTCCCCCTCCGCTCCCCCCCGCCCCGCTCCCGCCTGCCGAGCGCTCTCCCGGGGTAAGTCCGGAGCGGAGCGGGAGCCGGGGCTGCCCGGCAGGAGCGCTGCCCGCAGCCCGCGCTCCGGGAGCCGGGGGAGGCGGCAGCGCCCCGCCGCCCCTCTGCAGTACCCAGAGGAGGGAGGCGGCGGGGTGCCGGGGAGAGCGCAGCGTGTGCGGGCTGCCTTCTCCTCTGGCCGGCCGTGCGCCGCTCCGGTGGGCGAGCGGAGGGCGCGGGCGGCCGCCCGGGCCGGCGCCCATCGCCCGCTGCAGCCCGAGGCGGCGCTGCGGCCGCCGGGCCGAGCCCGGGGCTCCCGCAGGGGCTCCCGGAGCCGCCGTGCCGGGGAAGGAAGGCGAGGGGTCGGGCTGTGGGGGGCACGGCTGCGGTTCCCCGGGGCAGGGACCGGAACGCTGAGCGGCAGGGGAAGGGGAGCTCTGGTGAGTAGGAGGCGACACTTCGCCAGCCCGGGAGCAGCACCCTGGGCCTTGCAATGCAAAAACTTGGGAAAGCAGAGAGCCGTCTTTGCTTCGACGATCACACTGCTCCATGCAGTCCCCGAGGGTGAGGAGAGGCCTTTTGGCTTTCAGCCCTCGCACTGAGTGCTCGTCGGTGGTGGACCGAGGACAGGCACCGGGCTGAAATCCACCGCCCGGCTTCTGGCACTATCCGTGATCTCTCTGTACATGCCAGGACAGGGACCTGAACGGACGGCGTCCTCGTTGTGGCAGGAACATGACAGGGCTGGTTTGTGGCAACGTAATTAAAGTCAAGCATTCTTCATACCACATCTTGTGGAAAAATGATAAATCTAGGGCTCCTGGCACAAGAACAAGAGCAGATGCATTATACTTACACTATACCTTATACTTATGTCCTGCGTCAGGCTTTAAATGAGGCACTGGAGTTTAGGTCTCCATAAGTGTCCTCTGAGTGAACAGAACAGGAAGGCAGGTGAAATTCAGATTCATCTCCACACAAACTGCACTGTAATATAATAATTCTCAGTATGGGAGTGGATTTTCTCCACTTAAGTGTTTTCATTTGTGTGTTTGTTCTCTGAATAGATTGATATGTGCTTTTCTTTGTGCCTTCAGAGAGTTTCAGTCTCTTCTGCAGGATTGCACCTGCACCCTCCCACGAACCAAGGACTTAGAAAATTACACTAGGGCTCAACACATATACTCCTGCAGCCAGATGAAAACAATGCACTTTTTTAATATTAAAACTTGCATTGATAAGAGAACAAAAAGAACAGGCCGTACTAACACAGTGTGAATTGGGTTTCAAACTATTCTTTAAAACAATAGCAACAAAGAATGATTGATCATCTATTTATATGGGGAGAACATTGAACTGCCAGCTAAAAAGCACTTGCTGGCCTAGCATAGATGTAAACGGCTTGGGCATATTCTGAAATACCATATGAAATATTTTATGCTAGTGCATCAAAATATTTATGTGGTACTTACGTGTACTCTATTTATTTATTGTTATGCTATATTTTTTTTAAAACTGCAGAATCTCTGCCTGTCATTCACGCTGCTCTATTGATTGGTAAAAGCTACAAAGATAACACAGTTTCAGCTGGTTAGAAACTGATTTATTTATAAATCTGTCATTATTTATTTATAGACTGAGGAGATAGGCCAAGATCTTACAAAGCTAACTGAAGCTGATGAAATGATACACCATATATAAGATTAAGCACATATGTTCCATATCAAACAAGGTTCTCGTCTTGAGCACTTCATGCTCCAAGGCTTCTCACATAAAGGTGCCTTAGAGCATAGTGGTGAGTGCCAGAAAAATAAGAAATTCTAAGGGGTCACTGGAATTTCTGTGGTTTCAGGGTCTTTCAGTGAAAAGGTAAATGTTATCCTAGGATATACTGGCTGAAGTATTTCCAGTAGAGAGATGTAAAAAAGCAGAAAGCATAAGATCAGATCAGAAATGCCATACTCAGCTTATTCAAAAAGTACATTTATGAAAAATGAGAGCAGGTGCTGGAGTATTAAAGGTAATGAAGAGTCAGTCTTATGACATGAAAGATTTTTGTCTAGCAAAACAATGACTAAGAGATAAAAAAGATTGTTGTTTATAAACATCAGTATTGTAAACACAGGGTGTGTACCCAAAATGATAGGCCTTTATGCAAGTCATTAAAATTTGAAATGAAGCTGAAATTATCTCCTCTTTCTTTGGCTTTCCAAATAAATACATGCCATCTTGCTGTGTTTATAGTTACTTTTATATTTTTGTTTTCCTAGGCAGAAGCTATTGCGACATTGCAAATTTTCCAGAATGCCTGTGGAGATAGTCTTGGACCAGCCAACATGCTGGAGGTTCATTAATAGCAGTATCACAGGAGTCTTACTCCCAGATGTGAGACATGAAAGCAGAACCTGGGCAAGTGTCCTTCCTACTGTGCTAAATGCTGATAGCCTTTTGGAGCTGTGCAATGTGAGAATCACGCGTGGGGAAGGAGGCTGGGGTATGAGAGTGAACTTTGGTTCATGGTTCTTTGGCTTCTGCTGTCATAGCAACTGGATACAAAACTGTCAGTCTCATAGTAAAAGATTAAAATTTGCCTACCCAAAGAAGCGAAGTGGTGGGCGTTGTTCTGTTTCAAGAGTGAGTGTTGATATGTGTAGTTTGGACTGGCTTTGAAACCATCAACTGTACATTGAAATAATATTTTGGTATTTTATCTTCATTTGCAGAAATGTCAATTAGACTGTGTCATGACTGCACACTTGCACATACATTTATACCTTTCAGTTACTACAGTGGGATTCTTCTCAAAAACTACCCAAATTTTAGGATCCAGCCTCAGCTAGTCATACCTTACCTCTGTGGTGCACAGGTACTTATCACTCCAAACCATCTCTTTCTAGGAAAAGTGACATTAATTGCCTTTTGCAGGTGCTTTATTTTCTTTAACTCCAGTGAAAGGAAGCACAGATGCCTACCTTTGACTAGAGGATTGTTTTCCAGATGACTGAAGTCAGGTGAAGTGAAACCCATTTGAATGTGACAAAGGTACATGTAAACGCTGAATGAGAACAGGCAGCCAGAGACAGCAAACCAACGTGTACTCAGTATCTCAGTAACAAATAATAATTGAACATGAACATTTCTAATCTGAAAGTAAGAATCTGACATCAGTTCCTGGCTTACCCGGCTTTTTGCGTTTGTTTTTAGAATAGCATAGTAAATATAGCTTTTTGAGGATGCTTTCTTACCATGTACTATTATCTTTTTATTATGCCTAGCCAGAGTAATCAAATTAGGACACTTAATTCTAATGCTTTGTGTAATCATAGATATCATTGTGTAGACTGTGGGCCAGTAAAAGCCTTAAATTCATATAGTATGGCAATTTCATAGGCATTTTTAGAGAAGAAGATCTGTGTCATTTCTGATGCTTCCTGTTCTGAAGGAAATGGCAGATATATGTAATGCAGACAGGAATGCTATACTATCTAAACTTTAAAACCAAGTAATCTGTAAAACCAGTCACTGTAAAGGCTTAATTTTTTGAAAATCCTGTTGTTTTGGTCCTAGAGAATCTGCTACAAAGATGCATTGTATATATCTTTACAACTGGCATGAAGAAACACTTTTGTTGTTGTTGTTGTTTCTAAGGTTTTGGTTTTTTTCTTCTAGATGCTTCCTGTTCTGAAGGAAATGGCAGACATATGTAATGCAGACAGGAATGTTGTACTATCTAAACTTTAAAATGAAGTAATCTGTAAACCCAGTCACTGTAAAGACTTAATTTTTTGAAAACCCTGTTGTTTTGGTCCTTGACAATCTGCTATAAAGCTGCATTGTATATATCTTTACAACTGACATGAAGAAGCACTTTTTTTTTTTGTTCCTGAGTTCTAAGGTTTTGGTTTTTTTCTTCTGAGGCACTAAATAATCCCCAGAAGAAGATGCTTTGAGATTTCCTGGATACCAAGCAGCACAAACATTTGGCCCTGCAGCTGGACCAATAGTATCTCTTTATACCATTTATAAGATGCGTCAAATTTGATCCCAGATAATTTAAATGAAGACAGGTAGAATTCTAAACCAAACACATAATATTTAAATACTTTGGTAGGTCTCACAAGTTTTTTTCTCTCAGTGAATTAAAAACTCATCACTATAATTTTTTAAAGACTAGTCAAGTAGGGGTTTTAATGATTTGGAATCTTTTAAAAGATACTTGAAAGTGCTGTGTCTCATCTTCAAAATGGTTTAAAATTCATCAAATTGGAATGGGTTTTTTTAGATAAGAGCTGAAGGTTCTGTGATTTTTCTGCACTGCTTGATATTACTCATATCCAAATGGCAACAGTGTGTAAAGAAATGTGATAATAAAATCCATTGAGTAAGGCGGTGTTAATACATAGCTGGTGATGCAAAGTTTTAAGGGAAGATATTTTGTCATTGTGATCTCCTACTTACTGATTGTTATTTCTAAAGATAGTTGGTTATGATTCTGTCATGTAGTAAGTCCTGTAATACTCTGGGTACTTGTATTTTAAACTGTTACATTCTTTTTTTCAGCCTTGAGCCTTGGAAACCGGCATTTTTTAGAATACATTTCTATATCCCGGTGCTTACCAACACTATGCAATTCTATATAAAAACATTGTAATCATTACAGATTTTCTCTGTGTCTGTATTTACAGCATTATCAAGAAGTCACTCTGCTTACATTGTATCTGTGCACCAGCTTCTACCTGTCATTTTTGGCACCTGTGTCAAATAGAGTTTTTTTTCAGGCCTGTTTTATAATTGACCCATACAGAGTGCCTGTATGTTTTCAGTTTTGCTGAACAATTTAGTATGGTGGGCATGGTATGTCAAAGTCCAAAATTAAATCATAGATAAAAAATTTAAATAGCAGATAAGATTTTCTTTCTTGCCAATTAAGAAACCAATCTAGAAGCCTAAAGGATACTGAATTGCATAGAACAATATAAGCAAGAATATTGCAACTGATGCAACAATTCTGCTGAAGCCACACATATGTAATCAAACCTGTATTTATCAAGGCAGTTAACAAAAACTACTGGTTGCTATTATGAACCGGAAACTTTTGCAGTATATTGAGCCTGTGGCATTAGAAAAAACACCATTAAATAGAATATTTGTCTATGCTGCAGTATGCAGATGAGATCAAGATAAGGAAGAGGACCTTAGACAACATTTTCTACTTCGATGAATAAGACAATGCTAATGCATTAGCTATTTTAAAATGAAATTATCTTTGTTAAAAAGGATTCACTTTTCTGGAATGGGTATGTATGAAATATTCAAATCAGAATATGGAAAGGACTGTTATCTACCATTGTTCTTTTACCGACAAATGGACCCAATTCAAGAAAATGTTAGACATGCTTATAATCAGCCCTATTCAT